GTGCGTCGAAAATCAATGCGTAAATTCCCACTACTTAAGTACACATTTTATTGCCTAGTGCGGTCTCTGCTTATTAAAAAGCATGCATACTTGCGTGACTGAAACATCCTGAGCTTATGTTTCATGGCGGTCAATACTGCGACCCCAGCTAATCGACCTTTTCTAATCGAAACGCGTTTATTTTATTATTTAATAAAATAGCCCAGATGCAGTGTTTCAACGTGTCATATAACTTACCCGTCCAAAGTTAAAATTAACGTAAGTGATTTTTTTCAATTTCATGGGAACAAGACTGTTAAAACTAATTAGAAAACGAAAACACTTCGATGAAATGAGTAGCAGAGGCTGCCTTGTAGAATATTTGCGCTAGACTTCCGTCTTGCTACAAGTTAAGTTTGAGTACATGCACGCTCAGAAGAACCCATTTAGTAGATTTTTATATGGATAATTAAGGGAAAAATTCAAATTCTCGAAATCATACCTTCCGAGGAAGAATATTTGAAAAATTGTTTTCTCACGCTAACTTTTGGGAGGTTCACCGATAAGCTACGGTCGTACGTTTTCTGAACACATTTCTCCTTTAATATGTATGTGTAGTATACCAAACGATGAGCTGGGGTAAACATCCGAAACGTTCTTATACTGAATCCGTGCAACTTTTAGAAGTAAACTAGTGTGAGAGTTTTGTTCACGAAAAGTTGTCTAATAGCGGGTTAGGCTCGAAGCCATTAAATGGTATAATATTGTTTGCCTGTGTCGGATGGTCCTTTTCCCACAAAGTTGGTAGTAAAATTGTTAAAGTACAAAGTATAGCTCAGTGTTTTCATAGACAGTAACACGATCACTCTTTTCTGCGGTATTTCCAGCCGAAAATAATTTCTAATCTTTGAAAGGATCTCTCAAAAGTTAGAATCCCTAGAGTCCTTTCTCTGGATACGTGTGTATTTGGCTGCTCATCTAAAGCAAGCTAAACTGCTGAGGCACAAGTTGTCCGTCTGAACGGTTGTTTCTTAAGAAATTACATTTTTCTTTTCTGGTGATATCTGATGGACATTTTTGGCTCGGCACAGGAATATGAACGGCCGAATTAGAAGTGACTTAGTGTACAATTAGGGACAACGGAACGAGTATTACGGGGAGGCTCGTATTTGCGTGTCGACCAAATTTTTCGACATGTTCACAGTGTCCCACAGGCGTCTTATAATTTAAAAAACCAGCCGTTGTTAAGGAAACTTAAATTTCAAAAATTCTGGGTAACGCACCACGTCTAAAAATACGCTTAAGGCGAAATTAACTGGAGGCTGACGTTTATTGGTCGAGACCGACTTAAAATGTAGGATTGTATCATCCCCATATATTTCGATCCAGGTGTTTGGGCAGAGACTACTAAGTACCGGCAGATACTTTTCGATACATCCCAAAATGGAAAAAAGTCACCCACGTGGAGTCAGACGTAGCGTGCACAACGAAAAGTGTCCTATTTTAAGCGGATATCTTTGTGACTGTTACAACCCATCAAAATGGGCGTAGCCCATTGACCCCAGGCAACACTTTGTCCCCCGTTAGTGCGACCTAAGGAAACGCTGCCACTGACCGAAAACTCGGCAGTTGACTACAAAATAAGTTGCGGCAGCGAGGACTACAAATACGTTTGGAAAGCCGACAAAAATTGCAGACCCCTCCATGCGAGCGCCAACCGGTAACTCTGAGGTTGCTGAACTCGAACCCTCGGCCTGCAACGCATATTGGAGAAACAGGCCATACTTTTAAAGTTCGACGCCAAGGTTATTCAAGGGATGAACAACGAACACTTAAGGCGTGATATTCAGATGCCAACTCCATCAATCGTCATCTTGACCTTCTTGCAGCTTGTAAAGTGCTGTGTCACTGTGTACACCAACGCCGGATCAAGAGGACCACAGCAAGTATCAAGCAGACACGGCCGAGCAACGAACGCAGTTTAAAGGGGACCCAAAAGAGTCACCACATCAAACAACTGTCGGAGAGACTTAACCGCCAAACATCCAGCGAGAGGTCGAGGCGGCGAACGAGGTAAAAATCGACCAGCCCGAAGGCGGACCTGTGCTACACGTCAGATAAATTTCTTCACTTTAACTGAACTGTGAAAAACTTGGCGCCTCAGTGGAATTCGGACCCACGACAACAAGGAGAGGCTTTAGTACAGCCAACGCCAACCTACGACGCCCAACCGGACGAAGCGATTTTGATCTCATTTGGGTCAAGTTACCCGCCCAACCTACTGCAACGTCTGGAATCCACTAAATCTAATGCAGTAAACCGACTGGCCAAGCAGGATTTCCTTAGTAATCCACTTAGAATCCGCCAGATGACTACCAGGTTCACTGTGAAAAACTTGGCGCCTCGGTGGAATTCGAACCCACGAAAACAAGGTGAGGCTTTATTAAAGCCAACGCTCTAGCCATCTTATCTACGAGGCCCCACCGGACGAAGCAAGTCTACTCGCATTTGGGTCAGGTTACGCGCCCAACCTACTGCAACGTCTGGAATCCACCAAATCTGACACTCTCATCCTGACTCTGTCTTGCCATCGGGCCTAAGTGACTAACAGAGGGAAGGGTGTTGCAGGCGCTGCGCAAGTCTGCTATCAGTATAAACTAATTAACAGGCAATTCAGCGTTCTGCGCCTACCACACTGTGGGGCACACAGTCGTTCGCGGCATTCAAGCTGTCACAAGGACCGCCCTAGATCAATTGGCACGACGATACACGCCTACCAGGATTGCATGCGGTGTGCTGTGATCGGCAGGTCCGCGAATACGCAAGCTTCACTGCCATCTTTATGAACAATTTTGACAAACCAACTAAAAGAACGCCGTAAGCTTTTAGGACTGGGACGACTCGACTACGCTGTCAACCTTATACCTCTGTTCCCTTTAAATGATCGGCCTTACCCATATAGGCTGCGGTCACAGGGGACAGGATTTGGGATGCAGGTGATTGATTCGACCCGAGTCATCAGAACCCTTTTTTCCATTTTTAACTAAGTCGATTGAGTCCAGATGACCAATTGTGCTCGAGCTATAGGCCTGACTTCTCAAGCTTTTGCATTTCCTAATTTGAACTGAAACGCGGGGCCGATCAATATTACTTTATGCAAATACCACTGAACAGGTAGCTCATATGCAGTCTGTCTTATGCTTCCATGACGACAGCAAGTCAGACGTATCTTAGTTCCTCGGTCCAACAGACAGTCTTCGCCTGATACATCTATGATTTTCATCTATTCTGTGGAATCGGAACCGACCCCATTTCCGTGAACTAAACCAAAGACCTGCATTAGGTTAGATACCAAGGCGACATGAATAAAGAATCTTGTCCAAAGATCTGTGAGGACTTTATTCAATGATAGGGGCATTAATTGAAGGTTCATTGTTTGCACTATATAACTGGATGCCGAACGATTGGCCCGACCTCTGTTTCAGTGTTCCAGTCTATCTGACGTCCTGCCACAATGGAACGGACCGAATCTACAAGTCATATTACCGCATGACATCCGCCCGCAAACTGCTAAGACTAAAGCGAGGGAGGAGGGTGCGCAGTCGGGCAGAACAAAACAGGAGGATTTTTGGTTACCCGAGGAATGACAATTACTATATGGTAGGGTGGTTTACTGGTATCTAAAAACTGTCTAACTACACCAGTACGTATTCGTACAACTTCCTCTTCTTATGAGATGACAGGAAGACTGTGGCAACGTGTGCAGAATCAATCTCAGCATCGTCAGCTGCAACGTATCAACTGCTGGGCCAACTCTATCATCTGCTTTCCGTTCACGTATGCACATGACTGATTTCTGACTGGTCGAGGTAACAATCGACACCCAGAAAAATCCGCCTAACCAAAGCAGCCTGTCTTACGTGACAGGTGGTAATAGGGTTTTGTGGGTGGTGACTGGTCGGGATGTGCGATACTCGCCGACAGAAAGCCTTATTTGAACAGGTGAATTATCGAAGTTGGCCCGCTCTCCGTTCCGTTATTACAAAATGGGTCGCCAAAGGCAGTATAGTGGTAACGGACGAGTGGAAGGCGTATAAACGTCTTCCCTCAGAAGGTTATCTACATTTCTCTGTTAACCACTCAAAGAACTTCAAGGACCCTACCACCGGACGGCACACCAATACCATTGAGGCATACTGAAGTAGACTGAAAAGGAAACTCCACGAGGGAGGTCCTGTATGTGGTCGAGTTGTGTAGGCTCACATTGACGAAATACAGTATCGTCTTTGGTTAAGTCCCATGTTGTGCAGACTTATCCTATGTAAAAGCGATTTTCCGTTGTAATAAACTGTCATAAAGCGGATGTATGCCGTACATTCAGGTGTACGTGTGTAACGATGGGGAAGGTTGGGTAACAGCGACCATCGTCCATGTAACCTCCTGCGATGTTCGTTTGGCCAGCCCATGTTAGGCCGTTGCGGAAAGTCCAAGCAGTGCGTGAAAGTAGGCCTGCAACTGCTGATATAGCCTGAAGGCGTTTGAGTCCACTGGTAAAGGTATTATTTCTAGGTAACGGATTTTTTGGGTGCCATCTCCCGATTGCTACCCTGGTCGAGATGCGCGGACTGCCTTGCCTGCATGAATCCCGCTCCTAATTGAAAACAGCACACCCAAGACTCCAGAGCATCGAAAAAAGCAATATACACACGTGGCCAAAAGGAGTATAAATCTCAAATAATGGTAGTGAATAGCAAAGAGTACACTAAAATACGAAAAGCACCACACACACACTGAGCGAAGCATGTCGCAGGTTTGCTGATGGCTCAAAAGAATCTAGGGCGAATTGCGCCCTTAGATGTGAAGGGAAGGTAGTATCTGCGATGCTGCTCCGATATGCCAGGGAGGATGGAATCACAGGGGGTGTGGGGTTAAAAGGAAGGATGGGGGCAGGTGCTGGTGAGATGTTGCTGTACTTTTTGATTCTCAAATCTTTCCGCTTCACTCATAGGCACTGGCAGGCCTTAACAGGCCTTGGCGCGCTTTTTCTGAACGGCCTCGAGGACCTTGCCTGCAGCATCGGGGATACGGGTGCCGGGACCGAAGACCAGGGATGCGCCGCTCTGATACAGGAAGTCGTAATCCTGCGGCGGAATCACACCGCCCACGAAGACGAGGATGTCACTGGAGGAGAGAGGGAAATTTCAGAAAGTGGCCAATCAGAACACACCAGGATCGAAACACTTTAGCCTAACCAGGCGGCCGCCTCAATTATCAGAGGAGAATATTGCGACTTCGTATCGAGTTGAAAACACAAGAGTTAATAAGGCACACGACAGAATGCGGGTAGTGAGTGAACAAAAAGACGTATACGCAGTTGAATAAAGTTAAACTCCGATGGATGCTGTAGGTGGGTGGCTTTGTCGCGTTGTTTTAGTCGCCATTGTCGTATATTCGCATATGACCAAATAGGAAGGCGCAAAGAGGCACTCGACCAAATGTATAAGCATATCGATAATCCACAAGACAGGGGTTTTCACTCATACGACAATCACGCGATGCTAAAAATATCCTGTGAGTATGCGCGTCTCCGCTTATTTCAGCTCCTCGCTAAGCTGTGTGTGCGGAAAACGGAGGTGGTTTCGTGCCATGCCAATCAGTCAACAAAAAACCCACATTTAAACTACCGAGATATGCCAACAGTCGTGGCTTGTAAGTTTCCAGCTGTCGGGATAACTTGGGTCCACTACGGCCTGGGAGAGAGGTTGCATTGGCTCCTTCTAGAGGTGGCTTTTATGGCACTCTCAGGCAAGGCAGCCCATGGACCTAGGGGGGCAATAGTGGTCCTCGAGCTAACACGGTAGAACAACATCAATCCAATCAAACATTTAATATACCCCTTAGGATTGGCCGACATTAAGTTTCGAAAAAGAAACTGCTGTCGATAGACCAGGGTGGCAGAAAGCGCTGCCATTGGGAGTCCAGTGTGGACGTGAAGACTGCAAAGATTACCCAGCGAGCTATCGCGACCATCACACTTCCACTGCTGTGAGACGCTGGAATGACCCCATTCCTTCCTCCATCTCCTACACCAGCGACAAGTTCCAGTCAAGGCAGTTGAAGGTAAGATTGAGCGCGGTGGTTGAGAGGGCGTAAGGCCCCCATACAGTGTGCGGGACATGCTAACCAACACCTTTAACAAAGACGGCTCTCTGCATACCCCTGTTTACCATGTTCGTCTCAGGTTACTCCTGGTAGGCGAAAGCTCGCAACGGCAGTCATTTTCAGGTGGCTGGGAGATGACCGCTCTGTGCGACGGGGTCACCAGTCAGGCTGACTTGGCAGGACCTTCTCGTTGAATGCTTAGGGGGAAAAACGTAAGCCAGGAAATCGACTTTTTGTTTTACTGTTTAATTACTACTCTCTTTTCCGATGTCGTGCAATAGCGTAGGGTAAGACTTTTGGCATAAATTCGTGCAATTTTAGTGTTTTATTTCATTTCATCAGCTTACTGTCTAGCGTGCTGCCCCACCCATAAAGCTCCCTTTACCATAAATCCCGTCTACTGAGAGTTAAGTGGGGTCCCTGTCTATACCGCTCCGGGAAGGGGAGATTGCGGTAGATACTGCGCAAGTCTGTTTCACCATAAACCAATTGATGTATCAAGTCACCGTCCTGTGCCGATTACTCTCTAGCGTACACAGCGGATGTCATCGTTAGCGATGATCGAATTGCCGGGATAAAGGGTTAGGCCTCATTACAGTTGGCTGGTATTAGAGTAGGAGCAGATTTCCCGGTTGGGCGCAATAAACGACCCTATAAATTGTAAACGGAAATTTGTAGATATGGACCACTAAACGACCGCATGGAGACAGGCTGGTAATTAGATATGGACAAACGCTAAAATATATCAGGTTGCACTGTTTCGAATACGATCAATAATGTGACTAGGAAAAAGTCAAAATACTTAAAAAGACCCACAAAAAGCGGGAAAGTCAGTTTCAAAAAACCTGGAATCCGGTAGAAATAAGACGTGGTGCTCACCTACGACCATGTTCCTTCAGGGCCTTGACTAATGCTGGGACGAGAGTTTTGTGGCCGGCAGCCAGGGAGCTTATACCAACAGCGTGGACATCAGCATCCACGGCCTGCTGAGCGGCTTCTTCAGGAGTCTATAGGGAGCGAACGAAGACGGATGAAAGGTATATGAACAAAATTTGTCGTTACAAGAATTTTTTACGCGGACGGGACCTCTCTTGATAAGGTCGGGCTCGCTGAAAGTCGAGCATGATGAACATGAATGGGATGGTGGGAAAATCCTGTGAATTTGTAGCTCTAGAGTTGTAGGAGCAGCAACTGGCAGCATCCCAAGGAATAACTGAGTCCCCTTCAGACGGAAACAGTTTAAGAAATCTCAGGTCGCCAACGACTTCCGCCCGCAAGGAGGTTGGCCTGCGGCGGATCCTTCGGCACAGAGTTGATAGCGATGGTAGAGCCTCAGCCTGCCTTGAAGAACTTAATAAGCTATCAGCAAATTATTCCGGATCAGGCGACGATGTAGGTGATTTTTGTACTTTAAGGCTGGAGATTTTGACTCGTGGACGCTCCAGGCAAAGGGCGTGACTACTAACAAGCAAACATGGTCGCTATCGAGAAAGCAGTGAGTGAAGAGCCGGAAATAATGCACCGCCAGCTGCAGCAATTACCTGGTTTTAATTACTCGACCATCGGAAAAAATCCTCATCGCCATCTTGGTCTTAGCAGTAAGTCTGCTCAGCAAATGCCCGTGACCTGTCCGCCCATGGGAAACGACGCCATCACGATTCCTCCCGGCTTTGGGTGAGGACAAATCCAGCGAGTTATCCTCCCTTGCCACTGACAATGATGCATTAGCATGAACTGGTGAAAAGTTGGAGGACAGTTTGCAGCAATTCGCACGTAAAAAATTGACCCCATGAGTGGCGGTCGCAACTTTTTTCTCTCGAAATTATATCACAAGAACTGCGAAACTAGAAGGTCAGGCTCTGACCTCAGTCTGGTAAACTGGGGATGAGAGTGTAAACAATTTCTTATGGTGTTGCTAGAGATTGCTGCAGGAGGAGATCGCGTGGTCGATTATCGAACCAGGGGAATATTAGTCGTTTCTGAAGTCAATTTCGTCGAACAAGCCCAAAAATAAAAAGAAGCTCAGCGGAAAATTAATTCCGACGAGATAATTGACCCCAGAAGCTCTGCACGCTGAGCTCGTGAAGTTCGAAGCACGTTTTAATCTCTCGGTTCACACTCTCAAAATGTCCGCTGGTGGTGGCAGAAAATACGCTCAATTTGAATAGAAAGTTAGAAGTTCAAATTTGCTCGATTGCTTGGTATTGGAAGACAAACAACTCCCATAGAAATCTGTACACTTGCTGTCTTGACGAGCCAATCAGTAATTACCCTGGTGACGGGCGGGGACTAAAATATAGTAAAATACTTCCAATGACACCAAAATATTGAGATATGTCACCAGAAAAGATAACAGAGGCTGGAGCGGTCATTCCTGGCTTTGTATTTGAGCGTGTGGGCGTCGGCAGCGTCCGATGCCCGAGTTGAATGATGGCGGCAAATAAATCAAAAATGACCCCTCTCCAGCCCGCTCTTGTTGGTGATCCTCCGCAATTATCAATTGTTCTTAAATCTGTTACAGCTTGTAAGGGTTCTGAGCCGAAGACTCAAGGTGAAATGAAATGCATATATCCCTTCTGGCAGTTGCGCCAAATGGGCGAACACCGATTATGCGCAATGACGACGAAGTCATATTTTTGGACCTAAGGTGTGTTTCACCTACTGAAGTCTCCCTAAGGTGACAGATTTCTACAGCATTCCTGCCTTTACTTCCATTTCGCCTCGTTAAGCTCCTTCTTTTTCTCCCGGTCGTCATATCGTAGTCTTCGCCACCGTAAGGCATTAGGACGTAAGCAGTAAGGAAGTGATGTAGGATGATACAAGTCGAGGAGTACCTGTTGAAGTTATTTTAATGAGTTCCACTCGGGCAACTGGTTGAGCAAACCTGACAAAACTCTACCCGAGGACGCTGCGGTCATTTCGCTCGAACCGTAAAAAATAGGGTGCCTGCATTTGTCTTTGATGATGGGTTCGAGCAGGAATCCGAAACGTCAGGCTAATAAAGCTCTTGTTCAGAAGACGAAGATGCGATCACTGGAACAAGAAATTTATTGGCCTGACGTTTCGGATTCTCACTCGAATCCATCATCAGAGACATTCGCAGATAAAGCTCTTCTCCCAGCAATCGCATCTCCTTCTGCAAAGTGCCTGTTACCCTGAATAGCACAGGACATGTGCAGAAACGACCGAGAGTTTGGAATTGTAGTTGCTCAATATTAAGGGAGGTTCACTGTCAGGACTAACGGTATTCCCACTGTCAACAAAAGGAAACGGCAGAAATTCGAGTCAAACAGAAGCCATAGAAGAACATGTAAGTATGACAACAATGAGTAAGGACAAATAGATTGTTAGGAAGGCTTACAGCAAACAGGGGTCCAACGTCAACGTCGTAGCCAAGATCGGAGAAACCGGAGGCAACGACTTTGGCTCCACGATCGTGCCCATCCTGACCCACCTTAGCCACAAGTATACGAGGTCGACGACCCTCGGCAGCGGCGAAGGCCTAGAGGCGTGAAGTGTCAGGCCGATTTAGAAGATAAGCATAAAGGGCGTTAGGTAAGAAAAAAATCAAAAAGCTAATATCTACCTCGATCTTTTCCGAAAGTTTTTTGAGTTCATCGCCAGAACGATAGCCTGACTTGTAGGCCCCCGAGACGAGACGGTCATTCGCCTTGTGGCGACCAAATACAGCTGACATGGCGTCAGTAATCTCACCCACAGTGCAGCGGGCTCGGGCGGCGTCAATGCTCAGCTTCAGCAGGTTGAGGCTCCTGTCATCACTGGCGCAGGCTGCAGTGATGGCCTCCAGAGCAGCCTTGGCCTGAAATGAGACGGTGGTAAATGGTTGATGCATAAATTCACAGCATAGGTATCCGGAGTGTCAATCGCATTGCCCCCATGGACTGTTTCGAATAGAGAAACCCCATTAATGTGCAACTGTGACTGCTAATGAAGACTGTTCCCCAGTCCCTCCGATAAGTTCGTATTTCTATGGGAGTGATTATTTGAGAGAACGGCGAATCCACAACTTAATGGTGCAACGTTTTACTTGAAGCGCAATGATCAAACAGTGTTGTTTCGAACCACAACTTATCCAGACCTGGAGTTTAGGTATGACTGGTTCATATATATGTATTTGAAATAGGTAAGATTCTTTGAGAACGGAAGTAACTTTATTGCGTACTTCTTCGAGACTGGCTTCCCAGCTCGATATTGACATTCCCACTTAGATGCCACGTACAAATTTCTCAAGGAAAGATGGAAGCGAGCGCAGCCATTGCCGAGGGGATGACAAAATACGATCGACTAGCGTTTCCGCGGGCTTCGGGCAACCACAGAAACACTTGCTCGACACGGTTAAACAGATAACTGTTTTTGTACATAACCCAGAAGTCTGAAGATGAGCGGGGGAACCATTCTCAAAAATTTACACAATAGAGGTTATTTTGTCCCCAAAGAATCTGGCCCATTTCAAATTACATTTCTTGGGAGGCCCGCTTTCCTATCTCCGATGATGCGCCCAAGTATAAGTGTGAAACGTCAGATGAATAAACCATCCTCCCCAGAGATCTCTTCACCTTCTTCCATCCCAACACCTGGGGTCCGCATTTTCGCCTATATCCATATATACGAGCATGGGATGCCTAACCACAACCACGACTTATTGACAGGAATTTAAGGGCAGTATCGATTTTTAGGCACTTTTAAAATTTTGACTGTCTTGCACATTTGCCGTACGTCTGGGGAACTAGTGTAGAAAATTCACGAAATAAAGTTTGTTACATTTTCCAAACGACATATTACATTCAAATTAAGCATCTTGGGATGCCCATCTTTCAATACATAAATATAACGAAAAGGCGATCTCACAAACTATGCTCGGGCTGTCCTGACGTTTTAAATGCAGACAAGCTTTCAGTATCAGGGGGCGGCTACTGAATTACGCCCTATGGTGTTTGAAGGGTGAGAATCGCACTGGTGGCCCATAATTTGCAGACTAAGGTCTAAAGGCTCTAAGACCGGACAGGATGACGGGTCGACATCTACCTTCACGATTTCTGCCATGCCAGCCCGACGGGGGAGAACTTTTAAATGCTGGTGATCGCTGTCCGCACCTGTATCGTTCTTCGATGCAACTTCGGTTTTCTTCTCCCCTCTAGAACACCAACACCCTTGTCTATACAGGCATACATCTGTGCCTACGTATACATGTGTGGTTTTATTCAGGTAGGTGCCAGAAGTCAAAATGATCCCAGCATCAGAAAAGAAGGTGCTTGGTAAAAAACTGAGCCGTGGCCTCACTTTAGGGCAGTCATAAAATGTTAAAAGTAAGATAGTAAACGAAGCGAATCAGACGAGCTGTAGATTAGGAGGCCTTTAAGGCACTTCGGTTTGATCTTGATCATGAACACGTTGAGCGTCGGACAAGGGAATCAGGTTTGCGATAGAGCTGATGAGATTATATTCACAACCCCTTTGTCAACCAGGAGTGAATTGATTAGGTTGCACGAGATGGAGCAGCTGACCAGCGCGTTAGACACAAAAACATCGCCAGAGTAAACTTACCTTCTTCGGGTCACGTGAGCTGCGAAGCGCTTTGAGTTTGGCAATCTGAGATTCACGGACCTTCGTGTTATCGACAACCAAAACGTCCACTCTTTCCTCCTTCTCCAGGCGGTACTTGTTCACTCCGACGATGACCTCTGAGAGCGCCGAGGTGAAGATAACAGAAGATGTTAAGCGAGAGGAGGTTACCGAAACAATATTTAAATTATTCATATAAGGAGGGTACCAGATGTGTTTATTCAAGCTTATATAAAGTATAGACATACCATCACCGGAGTCAATAGCTGCCTGCCGCTTGGCGGAGCATTCTTCAATGCGAAGTTTCGGAATGCCAGCTTCGAGAGCCTTGGTCATGCCGCCCATTGCCTCGACCTATTTTCAATTGAGAAAGACAGTGAGGTAATGGATGAAGATCCCCGAGAAGGTCAGCGTTCGGGTGCTACCGTACACTTAACAAAAATTAAAAATGGACGGAAAGTAACGCAACGTGCTATGGGTCATGCTTAGGTGGACGCAAATTAATCATCCAAGTGTCGAGCATGCACCGAGGATTTGGGACATCCTTCCGCCTACAGACTAACACAGTCTCCTAAAAATTGCAGCGGCAGACCTCTGGAGTCCTTGAGATTAAAGGTCTGCCCAGAATGTCACCTGGATGCCACCCTCAACTGCGATCAACTTCACCGACACTTTTCGAACTTCCCAGGACGTTGTCTTTAACAACGTCCCCGCATCATTTCCACCCGTTATGCTTTATTCGGCAAGACTAGAGACCGGGCCACTTTGTGTCTGTCTTTCTCCCGTTTGTGTCCTCTTTGACCACGTTGGCTCAGAAATCTCCTTCAGTGCAATCTCTCCCCTACCTGTCACTGTGTGCGTACGCATTCTCTCCACCGTCACCGCTGTCGACGCCCACCACACCCTCTATAATCACTGCCACATCCCCGCGACAACAACGACTGCCAAAAGTCCTACCTCCACCATCGATGTGAACACACCTGGTGCCATGTCATGCGTCACCACCGTTCCTACGGCCAGCAATGCAAACTCCATCCCCATCTGCTTCCATTACGACCACACCCACAACACACTACGCATCGACCTGGTCGGTTACTCGTAAGTCCATCATGCTGAAACTTGTAAACCGCTTACAGGAGCACTAACATACACCCGTCGCACCCACCTCAAATGTCGACATTGCACACTCTCATTCAGGCTTACACGGCCATATGTGACTCTAGGAGAATCGGCAGCGCAAAACCGCAGTTAGAACCTCATGGACAATCATCTCTCCACTTGTTTATACATGGCACACAAGCCCGCCGGATATCATTCCTCACAAACACATGATTAACACCCCTTATTTAAGTGAGAAGCGTGCATTTTGGCACACCTGATGCCTGACCAGGCCATGCAGGGCGCGTCAGCCACTGCATCCAAATCCATCGTCAGCTGATTGATAGGCTCAGACAGTCGACTGGCGGATAGGAGAGGGAGAGTGCGGCCAACCCTAGAAACTGCATATCCATCTAAGTGCATTCGTCCCTGCAATAGAGTTAAGGGGCTTGAATCTATCATGACGTACTAAAAGTCATGGCTTAGAAGGTTGCAATCAACCTCGCGTGTGAAGCGGTCGACTGGTGAGTTGAGAGTCAGGCCACAATGGCTCCTTGCCAAGTGGTCTCTATGGCAATCTCAAGTATATGAAGTCCGACTCACCCATCATTTTGGATGAAAACCTAGTGTGCGTGTGTGTGTGTGCGTGCGAAGTCAGGTCTTTCATGGCACGCGCAGATGGGCTATTACTCCCAATCTCTGCATCAGATGGTTGATCGGTTCGCAGAGTGCACTGGCGCATGGGGTAGGAAAAGTGAGATCGAATAAGCGCATATTCATCACTGCAAACTGTCTGAGATGCTTGAATTTATCACGGGGCACTAAAATTCGTGGCTTGGATAACCGCCAACTTATGGCGTAACATGGTCTTCTCGGAACAGATAGTTAGGCCGTAACGGCTACTTCTTAAGTTGGCCTCCATGACACTCCTACTTAGATGGAATCCGAGCCGACCATTTCTTGTTTCTGCGAAATTCTGCGTGGACCAGGTGTGTGTGTGCATGTGACAGTCGTAGACGGACTGTTAAGCTTTGCAATCAATACACCCGATCCTACCTGCGGTCTTCATGACTTAGTCTGGACACCGGGTTTAGGTGGGTAGCGCGGGAGAGTGTGGTAGATGCAACGTAGGTCTCCCATCGTTACACGCTAATTCACATACAAGTCACTGTCCCTGTATCCATCACGCTGTGGGACTGTTGATGAGAGCGCAAGCGTCAGACTAATCCAATGTTCATGTTAGCTATCAAAAAAGAAAGTTATAGTGCTCCTGTACCTGTTTTTCCAGCAACTCAGTTAAGGCGGATTAGACAAAAATAGAAATAAATTAAAGTTATTGGTGAAAGGGGTATCGGTAGGAGGAGGATGAGATAGTGAAGGAAGAGGAGAAAGAGAAGATGGCAGGAGGAATGAGTCAAAAATAAGAAATAACCCCAAATGCTTGTTTAGTATTGTGCTTACCAGTTTGTTAATAACAAAAGGTTTCGCGTGACGATAGAATTGATAAGCCATTAGACTACATGTTAACCAAATAGCAATTATTGCGACTTGTTATAACTAGAGGTGCAGAGAAAAGCCAACACTGACCTCCTCAATCTCCTTAAGAGCTGCTGCGGCCAACTGGTCGGTGAGAGACTCCATCATGTAGGAGCCAGCCCATGGATCAGCAACACGGGTAATATGAGTCTCTTCTTGAATAATAATTTGGGTGTTTCGAGCAATACGTGCAGAGAACTTCGTGGGCAGACCGAGAGCCTCGTCAAAGGAATTGGTGTGCAGTGATTGGGTGCCACCGAACACTGCTGCCATGGCCTCAATGGCTGTTCGAACGATGTTGTTGTATGGATCCTAGGAGAAAATGCAAGGCAGATCTTAATATAAGGGGAAGCAGATTAACTAACGTAATCAAGACTTTCAATTTTTTTCTGCCTTTGTCCTGAATCAAAGTGTGCTAGTGAATCGCTGCACTCTTTACAACCAGTGCGCAAAGTAGTCAGTAAGTGGACTTGAAATCAAGCTAATACCAGTGGCAAAATGAGGCACTTAATGAAATGAATCTCAGAAAATGGCAACACTGTGGCATGTAAGGCCAGCCGATGTTGTCTAGGGGTTCTGTCTGGTAATTTGACCGGAGGCGGAGTATGTCCTCCATCGGATTTCATGGTTGCCTTTTCTCTATTCTAGTTTATTTTAGCCTTGCACAAAGCAGAAGGTCTTTCGCCACCGGAAAGCTAAATATTAAAGAAAATGTCAAAAAATTAGATATAAAAGTTAGGCCAGTCTGCTGTAAAGTGAAAAGCATGCATCAAATAGGAGAGTATTATTTGAACACAATTATAAACAAAGACTTCTGATTTAACAAAGACCATTCGAGAAGCATATCCTAGTTAATAAGTCGAAAATTCATTTGCTAGCGAGTGGCATGCACCAGTTACACCTATTACTAATTTGCGGAACAGAGAGGAGTAACATACCTGTTCTGTAAGAGACCAACCGGATGTCTGGCTATGGGTACGCAGAAGTAAAGACTTTTCGCTTTTAGCATCGAACTTCTCCTTGATGAGTTTTGCCCACAGACGTCGGGCGGCTCGCATCTTGGCGATTTCCTGTGCATGAGATGTAAACACGTTGTTAGGCACACTAGGGTGCATTTTAGTTGAAACAATCATAATATACAAAATCAAATGACGACAGGGACAAACCATGTAGAAGTTCATCCCAATGCCCCAGAAGAAGGAAAGACGAGGCGCAAATTTATCAATGTTGAGACCAGCATGTTCAACGCCCAGTCTACAGTAGTCAATACCATCAGCGATAGTGTAAGCCATCTCAAGGACGTTGTTGGCGCCGGCCTCTTGCATGTGGTAGCCGGAAATAGAAATTGAGTTGAACTTGGGCATATGCTGTAAATAAATAAAGCAGAGGAAATTCCAGGCTGAATAGTATACTAACAGTTATATGTGTGGTTTCAAAATCGTTCATTTTAGAAATGTTATTTGCATCAGCTTCTCCTCAGTGTAAAATCTTTTGCTGAGGTTTTTCTCTTTAAATGGAATTAACACCTTTGCTAGATATGTTGTGATCAGTTTGTAGTTGGTCCTTCGAGACAAAATAATTTTAGAAAACCTAATAAAATGCATGTAAGTTAAGGTGTAGTGTGCATTGTGAGATGTCAAATGAAGAGATTTGTCAGGGAAATAAGAGGAATAAGTGCCTTACATAACCGGTATATATTACGAACGTGCAGTGTGCTACAAATCTTGGATGAGCCGGGGTAGAATCTGAATGCTGTAAGTGACTCTGCAGGCTCGTCATCTCACAAGGAATGACCACAAAAAACTCGACTCACGGCTGCGGTATAGGCGAAAATATCAGCGATGATACGCATTGATGGAGTAGGAGGGAAGATGTAGGTATTTCGAACCATAAATTCTTTAAGAATATCGTTTTGAATTGTACCCGCAAGTTCTTTTTGAGAAGCACCCTACCAAAGGAAAAGCGAGTGGTTAGCTCTTACGACAAAACGCTGAAAACGGAATTCAAAGCTAAGCTCGTCGATAAGGTAATAATTAGTTACAAAATAATGCTGGCAGTCGGGAGTTATCATTTGCGGCCCTAGTCGCGTCTATGAAACTTCTCTACAAATCTACCTAGAAAAAAACTGCTGATCCCCCCTGAAGTTGATCACATTTTGTTAATTTGTAAATCACGACTACATTTCGTTTGCTTTGAGGCTTTATATACGCCGAGAACCAACCTGCTCCTCGGCAGCCACGATAAACATAGCAAGAACCGGCAAGACAGCGCCGTTCATTGTCATCGAAGTGCTGATTGACTTCAGCTCGATACCCTCAAAAAGACGCTTCATGTCCTCGACCGAGTCAATCGCGACGCCGGCCATACCAACGTCACCGAAGACTCGAGGGTTGTCGGAATCATAACCTATGGACAAAAGAAGATAAAGGTCAGACACAGAATACTTTTTTCAAAGATCGTAACGATAGTGACTTGCTTTGCTGGATTCCAGAAAAACGCAAAAAACCAAAGGCTGATAGAAGGTAAATAAGAACCAGAAAAAGACCAAAGAAAGGAATGTCTCAAAACTCGGTGCATTTAACTAAATATGTGCAGTACTAAGGCGGGGAACTGCTGCAATTTGTACATTGTATAAAAGTACGCTATATGTATTGTCCTTGCCGAGGGAAATATCCTTTATCAAGTTCCAACTTGTCCATCTGGTCTGCACACTGAACAGCAGCATATCAAGACTTTTCGCAACAAAATACAAGTTTTTAAAAACAAATTCAACCTGAGAGGCAAAGAGCAGTTACCGCGGTGTGTTGCCAAATCAAACGCAACGCTCAAGCCCTGAACGCCCGCTTTGATATTGTCCTTGTAGAACTTGTTGCTCTCCTCGACTGTGGAGAAGCCAGCATACTACAGGCGTCAGAGCATAACGTTTTTTTTACCTGACGAATAGTCCAGGGCCTTTGGGTGTACATTGTTGGGTAAGGACCGCGAGTAAACGGAAATTTTCCAGGTAACTCAGCTTTATGATTGGCCGTATCAGCGGCGGTATAGACGGGTTTGTATGGAATTCCCTATAATGATATGTTAAAAAGACACTTCATTAAACCTCGTAAGTTGGGTAGATAAGTTTGTGCGGATCTTTCCCCTTCAACTGCTTCTGTGCCATTTTCTCCCATTCTGGATCAAGATCCACGTTAACAGAACTTGCATTTTTGACGAGAGGCGCCAAAAATGTAGTTGTTTTGAGTTTGTTGAGGATTGTTTGTGATTTAGAAGCGTTCAACCCCAGCATTATTTCAGAAGCTTCCGATCGAAGTAAGAGAACGTCTTTCCGCGCACGACGTTGAAAAACTGCACCCAAACCACCTTACTACGGCCAATCAAATGGGCTAAAGGTCATTACTACATTCGTTTATTTAAATAGACTGAAATTTAAAGTTTTCCGGATCGTTAACGTCATCTTCAGAAAAATCCCCAGCTACATATCGACCTTCCGCTGTAACTGTTAGACCGAAACCTATTTACCGACATAGAGTTTCTAATAAGTCGTGGCCATTTCCAACCCCGAAGGATGATCGCTTTTCTTCCTCCCGACTCCTAATTTTTTAGTTTTTTCTAGCATATTCAGGGGAAAGTATGAAAGTCGAGCACTCCTTTCGCAACATAATAAGTGAGGCTGTGTACGGCGAAACTAATTGCATTGGAAAAAAATCAGACGGGTTCCATGAAGATTCGAAAATGAATCCCGATAGCAAGTTTAAGTTACCAATTACAAAAGCTTAACATTTGTGGTGACATCACGTCATCTTCTTGGAGGAGATTTTATGGATTGGCCACCCTGATTGAGAATGAGAGCTACTTCGCATCCAGCCGACTTTGAAAGGCAGAAGTCGACGAGGTGACTGGACCATTATCCCATTTAGGTTGAATCGCAATATATTGTTATCTGAACTGCTCTAGATTATGCTATAAATTCCCGTATTAATGGCAAGCACCTCCAGGTTGTGGTTCAAATATTTCACGTAATGTTTACGGGTATGAGGACCTACAGGTGGGAGTATATAAGATTGTGGGCAGCAATCATGGCTAGTCCGGCGTAATTGTTCAAGGCTCTGTTAGGTCAAGGGGCGTCAAGCGGCCGGGTTCAGAAGTGCGACCTGCGGCCACTCCGGCCCCTTCGACTCGGACGCGCATGCGTCCAGAGAGTCGCAACTGCTCAGGCGTTACTTAAGCTCACCACCCTCTACAGATGCAACACAAACCACTTAAACACCACTCATCGACAACTCAACACACCAATTGGTGACCACTTAAGATTGCCCCACAAACATACAAAGGCAACTATCACCAATGTTTCAAGGACTCTCTGGCATTATCGGATGCAGTAAGCATCAGATCTGTGTTCGCCAGCGGTCAGTACAACCTAAAGGAACAATCTCTGAGTTTTGTATGCAATAAATCCCTCAGTCTGACGACTTCTGTCTTCTGCTGCAACATGGGATTTGCCCTGAGGATTACAGAACTTTGAGTACAAGTTCACACTGCTTGGCCACTACAGGGTTTCGATGCGTCTCTACTCAAGTAAGAATGCCTAAACTAGATGAGCCCATTCGCTATAGGTGCGATCGTACTTTATCTCGGATGACCATAGAAGCAACTGCTAGACTGCCGAGAGATTAGGAGCCCATCGCAATCGCTCACAGCCTGTTAAAAGTCGAATCGAGGAGGGGTCATTACGAGTCCGCGAGGGCCATCGAGGCTCAGATAAACACGACCATAGTGCTTCTTTGCTGACTGAACAAACCAACAGCAAGTTGGCGAAATAAAGTAACCCGTCGTGATCATCAGGTAGTCACTTAGGGTCAAAGTGGGTGTTGACATTAAAAGTCGCTAAGGCCATTGCTGCAGGGGATAATATAAGTGGATTTGGCTACCAAACAAAAACATGAGTTTGTCAGAATTTAAGTTGCAGTTGACATCTAAGTCAGTTTAAGTCAGTTTATTAAGGGAATGAGGCTTTCGCCCTTGAGCACCCTATTCATGTCGATAAACAGAAATAAAGTCATCAATTACATCAGCAAATGCGAAAAGTTAAGAAGTTAGCGGTAAGTGTGAGCCAGGCGCAAACTGCCGCCGCTAAAACAATCATGATTGTATGTACAGTAGGTTCTCAACAAGTGAGCGTCTAGTCTGCACTTAAAGGATTTAACACTTTCGGAAAGAACGACGACATCTGGGAGTCCATTCCATGCCCCGATGACCCTGTGTGAGAAGGCGTTCCGTCGGACGTCCGAATGAGCCCGCTTCCTTTGCAGTTTGAACGGATGACCACGCAGACGGTCAGTCCGGGCCAATTCAAAGAATTCATCAAAATCTAGGGCACACTCTCGGCTTCTGACTATTCTGTAGGTTTGAATGAGATCGCCGCGCAGTTGCCTGTAATTTAGAGGAAACAGATTTAGTTCAGTCAGCCTGGTTTCGTAAGGCAAATGATGAAGATTCTTGACCATCTTCGTAGCCATCGCCTGTACTCTTTCCAGTCTTTGATAATCTTTCTTTAACCACGGTCGCCAGGCCTGGACTGCATACTCTAAGTGAGACCGGACGAATGCCCCATAGGTTTTTCCGAACAGCTCCTTGTCGATCTGCACAAATCCTCGCCTCAGCGCAAATAACACCCTTATCGCACTTTTGGCTGCCCTTTGACACTGTGAAGATGGTTTCAGCGAGGAGGTCATTAGGACTCCCAGGTCCTTCTGTTCCACAACATTTGAAAGGGACTGACCACCAAGGACATATTGAAAGGAATCGTCCTCCTTACTGGTCTGTCTGGTGCGGAGTCTCAGGACTACACATTTGTCCACATTAAAATTGAGGAGCCAGCGAGCTGACCAACTGTTNTACTGTCCTAAGTGTTCGGCTTTCTCGTTGTTCTCAACGATCTCTACACCATTATAATCCTTCAGCACCGCGACCGGGTCCTTATTTTTCAGTCTACTGTTCAGATAGTGAAATAAAATCTTAGGCTTCTGTTCAGCCTGTCGTATAATTTTGGATTCATACTCCTTCCGTGCCTGACGGATACATTTTTTGACGGCGTTTCGTTGACGACGAAATTCTTCGAAATGCGCTGGTGACGCAGTTTCCCTGAATATTTTCCATCTTTTGCTTTTCTTCCGTAGCTTCTTATTTAGGTCCCTAGTTAACCAAGCAGGTCGACTAGTTGTTTTTTGTACTTTAGGTGGACAACAGCGCCGAATCAGATCGAGTGAAATCGTTTTAAAAGATCTCCAGTCGTCCTCCGGATCTCCCCTGAATATTTGGTCCCAATTCACGGACAGCAATTCGTTCTTCATCATATTAAAATCTGCCTTCCATATATTAGGTTGGCCCTCTGTTCTCTTCTGGCGTTTAGAGAAGAGCGAGTAATCCCATAATAGCGTGGTATGGTCACTTTTCCCGAGAGGTGCATTGGAATACACTTCGTCGATATTAGAGAAGTCCTTAGTGAAAACTAGGTCTAGACAATTTGCTCTCTGGTTCTCTCGAAATCTTGTTGGTACCTTCACATGTTGCGCCAGAGGGAGATCGAGTGTGAGGTCCAGTAGCTTATTGCTGAAAGAGGCTGGTCCACCATTAACTGCCATAGTTTCCCACTCTATTGCAGGTGCGTTGAAATCCCCAGCAATAAGTACCTCTTGGTGGCTAGCTACGTCTTTGACTAAACCAAGGAGCGACTCATCAGCTGCACTCAGAAGATTTGGTGGTCTGTAAATCGCCAGAAATTCTAGATCTAATAAAGTAAAGCATGCAATATTTGTATTTATATCCCAGGAGGGCCTTTTACAAGGCCAAGAAGTAAGCCATATTCATATATATTTTAGAGGTTACACAAAGAGCCCCCGATGGCCCTATTTATGTTCAATAATTTTGCATATTCATGCAGTGAAAATAACCGCAAACATTTAGAATGTGGTCCAATCACAATGCAAAATAATTCCAACAAGTTTACGTTATAATAATAATAAGTCAGTTTAAGTCAGTTTATTAAGGGAATGAGGCTTTCGCCCTTGAGCACCCTATTCATGTCGATAAACAGTAATAAAGTCATCAATTACATCAGCAAATGCGATTAGTTAAGAAGTTAGCGGTAAGTGTGAGCCAGGCGCAAACGGCCGCCGCTAAAACAATCATGATTGTATGCACAGTAATAATAATAATAATAATAATAATAATTATAAATTTTTTAATGCCAGTTTACAGGCATTATCAGGGAAGCGTTAAACACAAATCCGGCCAGCAATGAAAAAAAAACTCCTGTCAGAAAGGAATAAAAATATAGTTGATGGTGGTTTCCATGGTTTGCGGGGTTCGGGAGAAAAAAACTGCCGACGGCAAACTTCCAGTTTGTTCACTTTATTTGGTAAGGATAATAGGCAAAGCCTTTGAAAACCCTTTTTATTATATGTGAGCTCGTTAGAAAGAACTGTACACGAACAAAAATTATTCGCCATTAAAACGTTACTTGGTTCATTTGAGTAGCATTGTCTCAGAGAAAATATTTGTGGGGACGCGGGGTCTTAGTTCAGATTCAGACCGTCGAGGGAAAACTGGGGACACAAATAATCATTCAAGCCTTTCTTGAAGAGTTACAGAGGCGTAGCCTCCACGACTGATTGAGGGAGAACGTTCCATTGCACCACTACCCTCTGCGGGAAATTTTCCGAACGAAGATTCAGCCTGGACATTGTTGTCCGTAACTTCATCGAGTGACCGCGAAGATTGGGTGAAAGGTGCCACTGAAACATGTCCTCAAATTTAACTCCATGCTCAAGGCCATGCATTACCTTGTAGACGAGGATAAGATCACCTCTTTGCTGCCTGTAACACAGAGGGGATAAATTAAGGCAATTCAGTCTGTCTGTGTAGGATTGGCGTTTTAGACCGTTTACCAGCTTTGTTGCACGCCGTTGTACTCGTTCGAGGCATGCTTGGTCCTTTACTAGCCATGGCCGCCATGCTTGCATGCCATATTCTAAGTGGGGCCGAGGGGTGTAGGGGTGTCAGCGGTGGGTTCACGTAATGTTCGTGGTGGTCGCTCACTTGCTTGCAGGTGAGACTGCGCCTAGCGTCCACTTGCTGACACTCAACTCTCACCTGTGGCTCCACGTAGCTGGATTCTGCTCAGCGGTCACACCCCGGGCAACCGTCTCGATCGGCGGGCTAAACCAGGTGAGGGGGCACTGTGCGCTGTGCCGTGTGCACAGGGTTTGCGGATTCCGCTGGATGGAAGGTCGGATGGAACCTTGCGTCGGCACCGTCGTGACGTGGTTCGTCTCTGCACGCCGCTGGACAGCCGGTGACGGGATGGATCTCCACATCGACATTGCCTTGACGCGCCCACCTACGCCGTCGGAGACAGCGGCTTACGGCGAATTCGAGTCGCTCTCCACTACAACCCGAAGTCGTGGTCCCATAGTGGAGTTCGGCCGTGCCAAAACGGCACATGGCAGCCCAATTCAGCGATGGCACTGCCAGCCCCCACGAGGGGAAGGGCCTAGAAAAGTTGGCCTAAACATTGCTGGGTACCACGCCGTCTCCAGGCTAGCCAGGGCCGTAGACGCCTAATCATGGTCGAAACAATCAAAATCGAAACAACAACAATACCAATAACAACAACAACAACAACCATACTCATTCTCCTCATCCTACCTCTTCTACCTATTCCTCTGCCTATTCTTCTGCCTATTCTTCTCCTTCGTCACCTTCTCCATCTCCTTCCCGTCGCCCCACTTGCTGTCACCAGACTGGCAGGGTGAGCCCTCTTGGCGACTGTGTCTAAGGCGGACAAGTTGATTGTCCTTGGTGACTTCAACGCCCGCGTCGGCACAGACCATACTGCCTGGAGAGGAGTGCTGGGTCCCCACGGTCTCCGCGGCTCAAACGAACATGGTCTGCTGCTTCTCCGCACCTGCGCAGAACACCGCCTCATGCTGACGAACACGTTATTCTGTCTGCCGGAGCGAGAGAAGGCCACCTGGAGGCATCCTCGGTCGCGCCAGTAGCACCTGCTGGACTATGTCCTCGTCCGGAGGGGAGATCAGCGGGACGTGCTGGTGACGAAGGCGATCGCGGGTGCTGACGGGTGGACCGACCATCGCCTCGTCATCTCGAAGATGCGTATTCGCCTACAGCCTCGCAGGAGACCACAAGGTAAGCGACCCCCAGGTAAGCTGAATGTTGCCTTGTTGTCTTTGCCCGCTCACAATCTTCATTTCAGCAATGAGCTAGCTCAAAGGCTAGAAAACCTTCCTATCGCTGCCGACGCCGCCGCTGCCGAGAACGCCTCCGTGGAGAACCGCTGGTGTCAACTGCGAGACACGGTCCAGTCGACGGCGCTCGCCGTCCTCGGTCGCGCTCCCCGCCAACACCACGACTGATTCGACGACAACGACGCTGCCATCAGAAATCTGCTAGCTGAGAAGAACCGCCTACACAAAGTCTACGTAAATCACTCCACTGATGCCACCAAAGCTGCCTTCTACCGCAGCCGCCGCCAACTTTAGCAACGACTGCGCGAGATGCAGGACGCCTGGACTGCTCGCAAAGCTGAGGAGATCCAAGGCTACGTGGACCGCAACGAATGGAAGAACTTCTTCTCTGCGATCAAAGCTGTCTACGGTCCGCCGACGAAGGGCACCGCTCCTCTCCTCAGCGCCGACGGCAACACTCTCCTGACTGAAAAGACGCAAATCCTGCAGCGATGGGCCGAGCATTTCCGAGGCGTCCTCAACCGCCCCTCCACCCAACTCAGCCACAGCCCCCAACGCGCCGCCGCAAATCAGCGTGAACGGAACCCAACTGCAGGTGGTGGAGAACTTCCCGTACTTGGGCAGTACTCTCTCCCGCAACACCAAGATCGACGACGAAGTCGCCAACAGGATCTCGAAAGCCAGTCAAGCCTTCGGTCGCCTCCAAAGCACAGTTTGGAATCGCCACGGTTTTCAGCTGAGCACGAAGCTGAAGATGTACAAGGCCGTAATAATGCCGACACTACTGTATGGAGCGGAGACTTGGACGGTGTACGCAAAGCAGGCACGTCGTCTGAACCACTTCCACCTCAGTTGTCTTCGTCGCATCCTGAGGCTAAAGTGGCAGGATCGAATCCCCGACACTGACGTGCTGGAACGGACGGGAATCCTCAGCATCTACGCCATACTGAGGCAAATTCAGCTGCGCTGGAGCGGCCGCCTGGTGCGCATGGACGACGAGCGACTACCCAAACGACTCTTCTACGGAGACGTCGCGACGGGTTCTCGCCGTCAAGGAGGCCAGATTCGCCGTTACAAGGCTACCCTGAAGTCCTCCCTGAAATGCCTGCAAATCAACCCGACCAACTGGGAGGAGCTCGCACTCGATCGACCGACCTGGAGGAGAACAGTGAAGACAGGCGCTGCGATATACGAAGCCAACCGCATCGCTGCCGCCAAAGCGAAACGTGAAGCCCGCAAATCACAACTTCGCCCAGTAAGCAACACCGCCGCACAACCGCTTCCAACGTGTATATGTATATGTATATTGAAGGGTTACAGGCAGAGCCCTTGATGACCCTATTTATGTACAGTGCTTTCGCAGATTCATACTCAAAATAAAATTAAATTGCAGGCATTTAAAATGTGATTGGGTCACAGTTCAATCATAATCATAAGGTAGTGCATGGGGTCTCTGTAAATTAGTGCGGAAGATTGTATATGACAGATTTTACAAAACTGGCTGTGCATAGTCATGCTGTACAAGCCGATTTCTGTCGAAAACTAAACGAGCAAGTTTTCTTTTAAACACACAAACTGTGTCAGCCGTCACCTTCTCACTTGGGAGCGAGTTCCACGGTCTGACAACCCGCTGGCTGAATGAAAATTTTCGTCGGTCTAAACGCGTGCGCTCATTCCCGACTTTGTACGCATGGCCGCGTAGTTGGTTTGTACGGGCGAACTCAAAGAAGTCCTCTGCTCTTAATGAGCAACCCTGGCCGCGAACAATCCGGAAGGTCCAGAGTAGACTGCAGTTTATTTGTCTATAAGAGAGAGGGAATAGGCCAAGGAAAGTCAGCCTCTCCTGATAAGACAATTGTTTCAGACCGTCGACCATCTCTGTCGCTCTGCGTTGCACCTGTTCGAGTAAGTTGATATCCTTCCTCATCCATGGTGAGGCTGCTGGCATTCCATACTCTAGATGAGGTCTTACAAAGACACCAAAGAGTCTTTCGAAAAGTTCGGGAGGAAATATTTTAAATGCACGTCTGATCCAATTTAGAGTACTAGTTGCCTTCTGGACCATCTTTCTGCAGTGTTCTGATGGCGATAGATTTGTGGTCGTCCATACACCCAGATCTCTGTGTCTTTCCACAGTTTCTAGCCTCGTCCCGTCAATATAGTACTGGTGTTCGGGAAAGGCATTGCGGCCGGTGTTCAGGTGCAAAACCACGCATTTGTACACGTTGAACTTCAAAAGCCATCTGTTCGACCAAGCACACAGTTTGTTGATGTTTGACTGCAACTTCTCTGCGTCATCATCACACTTGACTTCACTCCATATTTTTATGTCATCCGCGAACATGAGAGCCTCGCAATTCACTTCGCTGATGCAGTCATTAACATAAATCAGGAAGAGTACTGGGCCTAAGACAGAACCCTGTGGGACACCACTTTCCACCTTTACCCATTCCGAGGTAGAATTACTAACGACGACTCTTTGTAGTCTGGAGGACAGAAAACTCCTGATCCACTTAACATTCTCCCTTGAATCCCTACATCCCAGATCTTTTGTAAAAGAAGCCTGTGTGGGACACTGTCAAAGGCCTTCTTGAAGTCAAAAAATATGAAATCTACTGGAAAACCCTTATCGGTAGCTCGTGTCCATTTCTCGTGCGAGTAAAGAACGTTCGTTAGGCAAGAGCGCCCTGGACGAAAGCCGTGCTGGGCATCGCACAATATTTTGTTCTGTTCCAGGTATTTCATCAAACGTCTTTTGATAATGCGTTCCATTATTTTACACGCGATGCAAGTAAGACTGACAGGACGATAATTTCCGCAGTCAAGTCTTGAGCCTCCTTTATGGATCGGAGTAATGAGTGCGCACTTCCATTCTTCCGGTAGCTCGCCGTCTTCAAATGACTTTTGAAATATTGCGGATAAGGGTTTGCACAGTTCATTAGCAAGTTCACGAAGTACTAGGGCGGGAATTCTATCTGGGCCAGGCGATTTGGCAGGTTTCAGCCGGAGTAGCTCGGCCCTAACTATGGTAGATGAAAAGAGTGGTTCCTCGGTTAAGGAGGGTAGGGAGGGGATAGGATGGGGAAGGGTACTGGGAGGAGAGGTTGGTTGGCGAATGGAGGGATGGGCAAATATTGCACTAGGTTCTCGGGTGAAGACGGACTGAAAGAAGTCGGAAAGGAGGGATGCTTTAACCTGGTCATCAATCTCCACATTTCCATCTGCAGATCTGAGGGCAGGGATGAGCTCCTGAGTCCTTTTAGTACTTGGTATATAACCATATAGAATTTTCGGATGCTCCAACGAATTTTGAAGTATGTTCAGTTCAAACTTCTTTCGCAGCTTTGAGGCCTCACTTTTACAGACGTTTCGTTGCCGCTTATAGTCCTGTAAGTGTTCGTCGGAGCCAGTTAGTCTGTAACGCCTCCACAGATGATTCCTTTTTCTGAAAGAGGCCTTCAAGTCCGGGTTTATCCATTTTGGGCGGTTTGTGATTTTCTTTCTTCTGCGAGGACAATTGGAATAAACAATCTCTTTCAGTAAGGAACTGAAAGTATTCCAGTTATCGTTTGCTCGACCATGCAGTTCAGTCTCCCATGATATAGCTGCCGCTTCCCTCCTCATGAGAGGATAGTCCCCTTTCCAAATGTTTCTCTCCCACCTCTCGGGTTGGACGGGTTTGGAAAACAGTGAGTACTCAAAGTATAGTGTGATGTGGTCGCTTGACCCTAATGGCTGTCGGTCCTGCAGGTCTAAAACAGTTTCCTCCTCTCGGGTAAAAATAAGATCAAGGCAGTTCGACTGCTGACCTTCCCTGACCCGTGTTCCAAAGGTAACATTCTGGCAGAGAAGTTTGTCCGTTGCCCATTGAAGTAGTTTGTGATTAAAGCTGTCTTGCGGACCTTGTGCAGTCCACGTTAGCCAATCAATGCCAGGAGCGTTAAAATCCCCAACGATAAGGACATCTTTCTTCTCGCTAGCTTGGTACAGTTCGGATATGAGCATGAGATCTTGGTCAGAAGTATGGTTAGGTGGACGGTACACCACCGAAAGCGTCAGTGCTCGGACATTCTTAGTAGATATGGTAACGCTTAGCAGTTCCACATCCCGTACCGGTCTATGTACATCAGCCATAGCGCTTAGCTTGCAAGTGACATAAATTATGACTCCTCCTCCTCGGCTTAGTCTATCTCTCCTGAATTGCTGATATCCTCTAAGTGATATTTCGGAATCTGCGATATCTTTAGTAAGCCACGTTTCTGTGAATGCCATAATGTCTGGCTTAATTTCATCAACTCAGTCTCTTAGTTCGTCTAGTTTGTTGAAGAGGCTTTGCACATTTGCGGATATAACCTTCAATGACTGATTCGTTGGAGAGGCCCGGCCTTCATTGTGACGGGTTCTGACCACAGGAAAGACCTCTTTGTCTGGACTATTTGTCCATTTTTGATCTTCAGCCCTTTCTCTCCTCTGCCAATTCTCTCCTTCAATTCTGATCTCAGTTCTCTCATTTTCAGTCTTTCCCTCGGTTCGTAGTCTGGTTGAAAAAACACTTCCTTGTGCGAATTGCGTAAGGTCGTTCTACTTTCTAATAAAAGCGCTGCTTGGGCTTCGTTTTACAAAATAACTTTCAGGGGTCTTGGGGATGTTTTTAGGTCACGATTTGGGTCCGCTCTGCCTAGTCGGAAAGCTTTTTTAACGGTGAATATTTCCCCATCCTGCAGGACGGCACTGGCGTACTGATGAAAAAGGTCTAGGTCGTGCGTCACTCGTTCCTTCGGAATGCAGGACGTGGACTCTGGGGCGCCCCTTATGAAAATATTTTGCTTACGATTTATGGAAGAGCTCATTACTGTCTCGTCCGCGCTAGGACGATATAATGCTACTGTAGTATTCCCGACGGCTGTTGTCACTTCGACATTTGAATGATTTTCGGCCGGCGAAGGGAGTTTAGGGCATGGATTTTCATTTGACGTACTTGCTCGGGCAGTGGAGCTCTTACAATCATTACCCTGTTGCAATGTACTGCACGAAGGCTTATCGTGTCCTTTTCCATAAACGGATTGGTTAGGGCACTTTCCAGATGAGTTAGCCTTGTGAAGAATTGGAGTAACAGCATTGCTTTCCAAGAATAACGGCGAGTCCTTGTAGTTTCTAACAGATCTTCTGAGGGTCACCCTGGCTTTCCCAACTTTATTGTTCGATGATTTGGCAGGCTTTGTTACTATAGCAGGTAATGGAACCTGACTTATTTTTAATGCATTAGTGTCGACTGCCACGTTATCCACCGGAACTGATTTGTCTAGAGTTTCCTCTGGAGACATAACTCGCTTCCTCTTCCTGACTGGCTTTGACTTTTCCGCGCTAGTGCCTTTATTAGTAGGATGTTCGTCGCCGATCGATCGAAAATTTGGCGGATTATTTGGTAATTCTATCTTACTGTGCTTAAGAATAACCATGATGATGTCTGTCAGTAGGCCTTGCTTCACTTCTAGCGTCTGGACCCGCTTTTCAAGTTCCTTACAGCTGACACAGCGACCGACAAGCGCAGAATCCGTCCCGTCTGTCATACAGTTTTCGAGGCCTCTTGGCAGTGCATCGGTTCTTATTTCCTGTCTTATCTCTTCTAGGCTATTGTGCGTAATCTCCCTGGAGTCTAATGATTCCAGCGGCATTTTATCGCAAGAGACTGCTAATGAATTAAAGACCGTTTTCAGCTGCTCTTCTGTAGTTGATAAACATATCTGACTAGCGCCAAACCGTTCGTCGATAGCGCAGTGGCTAACGCTCTGGCCTCCAGATCCGCAGGTACCGAGTTCAAATCCCGGTTGCACAACTTTTGTGAACGAGTTTTTTTTATAACAAATTGGCTCATTGTTGATGACTTTCAAACTCTTCAATCAGTTCTAGAGTAGTGCAGGATGTTTTCAACAATTATTAGAATGAAGAATTTGCCAATTATGAAGGTAAATAGGAAACGACTCAGCCGTTTATACCCTGCTAGCACCAGCCCCGTCTGGCCCCGCCTAGCCCCCGGGGCTAGGCGGGGCTGGGCACCGTTTGGGCGGGGCTATGACGGGGCTACGACGGGGCTAGGGACGCGATAGACCCGTCTGGCCCCGTCCTCGAAAAAAACGCGCAGGGGGACGCCACGCTCTCCGTGATATTAACCCCCCATTTACGTTACCAGTATTATTACTTTCCTAGTTCTCCGTACAGCAGGTTTAACTATTCGACTTCTGATCTATGAACACCCATAACCCTTACCTTTATTAGGTATTGCCCACCCTCTAAATATAGTAATAGCGCCGAAAACTCGAACATCTCCCGAGGTCTGCATAAACAAAGACAATGGACAGCAAATATTGGCATATGATAATTTATTAAACATAAAAAATTTAAAAAAACGGAGTAATATGTACAAGGGACATATGGGATACGAATTTGTTCTGGTTTATCAATTACACGGCATCGTTGTGTTGCCGGAAGTTTTCATCCACGGCAGGCTCCTATAAAAAAAACATAAAAAAATAAACAATTCTTCATATTAGTAAATTAAGTAATAATTTTGTTTTACCAAACGGCATGCGTGGTGTAACATTTAAGTTGCCCTAAGTAACTTACAATTTACTTAGGGCAACTTAAATGAAAATTTCAGTTAAATAACTTATGGAGTGAAAAAAAATGCCGGATAAATAATTTTGTCAGAAATATTTTATAAAAACATTTAGAGGGGACTAAAGGAATAATTAGTCATCTTTTTTGGTTAATTAGTCATTTATGTCCCCTGTAAATGTTTTTATCAAGTATAGCTGTCAAAATAACGCACCTCTGCGTGGTATTTCCGCAAAAATTGGAACAACAACTTGAATGTTGCCTGCGGTAGTTGGACACTTAAGCAGAATTCCCTCAAATCTGTCAGGAAGCAATTGCCACTGAACGTGTTCGAGCTTTCATCTGCAACCTGGTCGTCGTCTACATCGTCTTATAGCATACCATATAACCCCTACCAATGCTCACTTCAGGGCTAAGGTGCGGCATCGATGGTTCGGGTGATGGCTCTGTTACGAGGGATGACGTAGACGCGAGCGAGGGGTCATCGGTGGCGGCATAGTTCGCCATCTTCGCCCGCTTAGTCATGTTGTACATTGTACTGCGATGAAGTCCCCAGTATTTTCTTTCCATATTTGCTTAGAATTAACATATAAATACTATTAACATATATTAGACCGCTATATAGTACACTCAAGCAGTCAGACTACGTGCCATTCTTATAAATAACTTAAATTACGATTCTAGAGACTAAAATAAAGCATTTACTTATTACAATGACATATTGCATCGCATAGAAGAAATAAATAAGTAAATGAATAACGTACTGCAGTCCAAACGAGCCAAGTAAGAATCAGGAGTCAGTCAGCTGTATGGATCACGCGTGCACACAGTCAGCGTAAAAGTGCCGTCCACGTGGGTAGGTACATGACCGACTTAAACAAGGCCAGTATTTGCCTTCGTGAAACATGAATTTCTCTCAATGTCATACGACTGAAAACACATTATACAAGTTAAAAAGCTTATATTTGACGATAATAAAGCTCAAACAGTCGAAAATAATGCAGAATGACGTGATTAGAAAGGATGGAAATTTGGACGGGGCCTAGCCCCGTCTAACCCCGTCTGGCCCCCGGGGCCATGTGTTGGCAGGGTAGTTTTCGACGTAGATCTCGGAGAAAAGTTGTCAAGTATACTTGTACAGATGGTCGGACGATTGCAAATATCTTTTGATGGAGAATTTGTGGTATACTTCACCGGTGCGAATGAGAAGACTACTCAGTGGTGCTGTTCCTTGAAGAATTCGGGTAGAATCTTCCTCCTGATACCGTGGGAAATAACGTCGAGATCCGAAAATTCCAATAATGATAGAACTTTCGAGTTGGTGTACTTATAATCCAAATACAAAGGATACTTTGTCAGTTCGCAATTTATTTCCACGCGACGTTCAGTCTGCCCTGTACTATCAAAAAAATTCGACGAAGGCTCGGAGAGCTGGGGATACGACTCAAATTCGAAGGTCCCGCAGATGTTTCGAAGGTCCCGCAGATGTCAGTGGACATTCCGGGCTCGAATCGGACTTGTTGGACATCTTCGGATTAACTGCGCCTCTCGAACGGCACCAACCATCGTCCCCCCGCCTGCCTCTTCCTCCTCCTCTCCGCCGCCAACTAACCCTGACAATTCTTCTGTCCCACCACTTCCATCATCCTTTTCCTCCTCCT